ATGAATATATGTATATATGTTTATGTATATGCATATGTATAAGTATAAGTATATGTATATGTATATTTGTATGTATATATGTACATGTATATGTATATGTATACGTATACGTATATGTATATGTATGTATATGTATATGTATATGTAATATGTATGTGTAGGTATATGTATATGTATACGTATATGTATATGTGCATGTATATATGGACTTAGAGAAGTTATCATATACCATAAAACATAATTATATATATTTATTTATATTTATAGAAACGTTCACATATATATGTATATATATACACATAGACACACACACATATATATATATGTATACATACACGCTCATTCATTCATACATATACATGCATACATACATACATACATACATACATACAGACATACATAATTACATTACATCGCATTGCATTTACATTGCATTTACATTACATTACATTACATTACATTACATTACACTACACTACACTACACTACATTACATTACACTGCGTTGCATTGCATTACATTACATTACGTTACCTTATACTACATACATACATACATACATACATACATACATACATACATACATATATACATACCTACGTGCGTACGTACGTACGTACGTACGTACGTACGTACGTACATACATATACACACACCTACATATATATATATATACACATATACACACATGTAAATATACTTACATATAAATAAACAAACAAACAAATAAATGAATATATATATATACATATACACACGTATTTATATGTGTATGTACGCAGATGTAGACGTGAACAAGACAGCGGGCCAAGAGAGGCTGGAGCCCGGAGCCCTTGGAGAGCAGCGCCGGAGATCTGAGCACATGCAGGAAGTTCGATCCTTTCTCGGCGCCCCAGCTGCGAGTTTCGGACACCAGAGGCCTTTCTGGGTTTAGGGGCTTTTGGGGCTGGGGGTGTAGGATAATGTTTCAGACGTGATGGAGTAGCCGAGTGGGGTTCAAGAATACAGGTTTAGGGTTTAGGGTGGGAGGGAGGGCAAAAGCCAAGCCGGTTTCAGATGTACCCAAGTTGGAGTGATGCAACACACAAACCCTGTGACACCACGAAACCAGCAGGTATGAACAGGTCCTGTTACAGTCGGAACCTTAGTCATTAAGGGTTCCTTACAATAATCATAGTAGGAAATACCCCCCAAACCAATTGTCTTCTAATGATCTATACTGAACTCTTTAAATCACGCCGTATAGTAAGGTTGACAATGAAGCAGAGCCCCAGCCCTTAGTGCAAGTTCGTGCAGATTGGGGGTTATAGTTGTTTCATCATCCAGCCCGCCATGTTCTCGAGCCCCCCCTAAACCCTTAACCTCCAATCCATCAAACTCCCTAAACCCTTAGAGCTGCTAACGCGCGATCTCGCAAGCCCTAAACCCCGAAGCCCGCAAAAACCCCAAGCGTGAACGCCCAAAAGCTTGAAAACCCGAAGCCCCCAGCCATGATCCCTCAAAGCCGAATCCCGTAGAAACCCTTACACAGTTTAGGTGTTTATAGGGTTTAGGGTTTAGGGTTTTCTAAGATCTAAGGAACAATTACAAAGATGTTAGGAACCCTTGCAAAAACTCACAAAATCCCTGACTATAGAAACCCTAACAGAAACTCTTCGAGGTCCAAAGCTACAAACCCTGAGCCCCAAACCCCCTAACTTTAAACATGCAAAGCTCAAAAGCCCGAAACCCTAGAGCGCCAGTTCCCAACGCCTCCAAAAGCTTTCATCCCTACAGCAATCCGAGGAGATGTTTCCTAAAGCCTGAAACCCTAAAGCCCTAAACCCTAAACCCTAAAGCCTGAAACCCTAAAGCCCTAAACCCTGAAGCCCCAATTCCTCAATCAACGAGCCCCTCTTGTGTGATCTTTTTACCGAACCATTGAGGCTTAAAGGAGCCCTTAAGGGCAACCATGAAGTCCTTGAGGCCTAAACCCTAAACCCTCAACTAAGCCCTGATCCCTAAACCCTAAACCCTAAACCAAACGCTAAACCCTAAGCCCTAAACCCTTGAAGTCCTAAATCACTTCAGGAGATGTCAGTCCTGTCGGAAGCTGCCGCACCGTCGCTCATTGAGCTTGGGTGCCTCTTCAACACCCTGCGGAAGGAGGTCTCAGGGGTCAGAGGTTTTTTAGGGTTTAAGGTTTAGGGTTTAGGGTTTAGGGGTTTAGGGGTTTAGGGTTTAGGGTTTAGGGGCTGTTCAGGGGTTCAGGGTCAAAGGGTTTAAGGGTTCAGGGGTTTCGGAATGTGCACATCTCGACCCGACAGTCCCAATCCCAAAACCGTAAACCCAAAGCCCTAAGCTCGGACACATAAACCCCTAAACCTTAAATTCCTGGACCCTAAACCCCAAAACCCGAAGCAGCGTTCAGAGGGCATTTATGTGCATGCATAGGCTCGCAGAGGTTTTGCGTATGAATAGAACTTAATTCCTTGTATGGACATGTACGTAGTATGTGGGTATGTACGTATGTATGTGTGCATGTACTTTCGTCTGTATGTATGTATATGCCTGAAGGCATGCAGGTATGTAGGCAGGTAGGCATGTAGGCACGTAGACGGGGAGGTATGTAGGCATCTAGGTATGTCGGTATCTATGTAAGAATGTATGCATGTATGGATGTACGAGTATACCAATGTACGAACGAATGACTGGTTGACTGAATGAATGAGCGCAGTGGAGTGGAGGTGGAGGGGAGGGGAGCGGAGTGGAGTGGAGTGGAGTGAAGTGAAGGGAAGGGAACTGAAATAGAGTGAAGTGATGTGAAAAGATTTTACATGTTGTGACATGTTGTGAAATGAAATGAGATGAAATGAATTGAAATGAAATGATAAGTTGAAGCACGAGCGAACGAGCGAGCGAATGAACGAACGAACGAACTTGACAAAGTAAGTAAGCAAGTAAGCAAGCAAGCAAGCAAGCAAGTAAGTAAATAAGAATGCATGTATGCAATGTATGCATGTATGTATGTACGTATGTATGCACGTATGTATGTCTGTATGTATGTACGTATGCGTCTATGTACGAGTGCATGCACGCAAGCAAGTAGGTAAGCAAGCACGATGCATGCATGACAAATCCATTTTTAGCTTCGGAGACGGCTGGGTTGGCTTCAAGTGGGGAAAAGGGCCGGGATGGCAGGTCCTGGTGGGGTTTCAAGTTTTAGGGTTTGGGGGTTTAGGGTGTTCTGGAAAGGCAGAGGAAGTCGACGTCCATTTCATACAAGCGGCCACGGACGAGCTAAATGTGCGCTACAAGGCTTGCCTCCCTCGTTGACTCTGGCTCGGCATTACACGAGGGTGCTTCCTACTCTGCGGGCATCATGTTCGCAGATTCTGATGGGTGTATGTCCTTCCCGATTACAGCGCGGTAGGCAGCATTCAGTCAGTTGCTCCGCTACAGTCGCCCACCTTGCAGACATCCAAGGGGATTCTGCTCTTTGTCTTCATGTTGCCGCTTAGACCTTGCTGCTAGCTGCTCTAGTCGCGGAGTCTGTGAAAGAGATTTTCAATAACTGAGAGCGCGCCTGTGTGAAGTCTGCTGCTTCCTTGGTCAGGTCGGGTTGAATCCAGCCGATGCGCAGCGCATCTACAACATGCTCAGCAAGCACGGCAAGGAGGAGATCTCTCGCGAGAACTTCATGCAAACTCTGCGTGATCTGTTGTCTGCCGTGGTGGGCTCCAAGAAGCACCTCTCCTTTCGGCAGCTCCGCGTGGTGATGGCGACGGCCTTTGAGCGCTTCGACATGGATGGTGACGGCCACATTTGCGTGGATGAGTTCGTGCGGCAGCTGCATTTACTCTTCGGCATCCTAAATTCAAAGCCCTGCGCCCAGAACCCCCCTAAACCCTAAACC